TTTTGGGGGGGGGGGGGTAGGGTATTGCTAAGGAAAGGAACAATGAGAAAAAAAGTTGCAAAGAAATTGGACTGTGGTAGCTCTTTGTGACCTATATGTGTTTATATAGTATTGTATATGTTATATTTATACTTGAATATATGGATGATGAATTATTCATAACATATTTTCAACTTCTACTTGTTAGTTATGCATCTCAAATGAATCACCTGAGGAACCACTCATGGAATTACGTTGGGTATATTATTATTGTCGTAGGCAGATTCAGAATTTTTAAATTATGGATTTTGAACCATAATATTTTTTGATTACTAGGTGTAAGAGTGAATTAGAGTCTTACATTTGTTGATGAATGGACTGGTGATCTATTTATATGGATTTGAGTCATTAATTCTCTCCTTGTGAGCTAACTTTTGAAGTTATAAACTCATATGTTATATCTTTACACTGGATTCTGAATAAATAAACCAACGTGTGGGTATTGTATTGATGATTCACACGATTATCTATCATATGTATATTTTTTTACTTAACTTAAAGAGTTATTAGAAGAAAAAAATGTTTTTTTTTTCATTGTAGAATAAAATCATCCAATTTTTCTTATGTTCACACATTAGGGTTTTGAGGGTTTTCACCAAAAGTTCTTGGTAATATATGTTGTGTTATGCTACTGTCCAATTTCATTTTAGTGTCCTTTAAATATGAATAAAAATAGTAACAAATCATACATTAATAGTGATGACATAAATCAATGTTTAAATTCTTTTGACTTTTCTCAACTCTACTTAGGTCAAGTAAAAAACACAATTTTTTTCGGTCGAAAATCTATTGAAAATCATTTTCTTATCCTATAAATATAGTGATAAGGTTTGCGTATACTCACTTGTGAAAATTTGAATATATCGAATATGTTATTGTTGATGATGATGAATCTAATTATTAGGTGATTAATATGATACGCAAATAACATTTTCTTGTTATTATTAATACAATACATAAGAAAAATATACTGTAGTAATGTTGAAATATATGAAATTAAATATAAACATAAGAAGACAATAGTCTAGATATGCAATAATTTCTTGAAGTACAACGTTTGATTCTCTTGAACAGATCTTCGTCCTTTGCCTTTACTACTCTTATCAAATCAAAGCTTATCTAATCATATTATATTATGTTTTTGTTTATTTCAATATTTTAGGTATATATATAAAATATATTTGAATGTGCAATCACAAGAAATTGGATATATATGATCATGGTGACGTTAATGCAACAATCTTTCATCATGAGTAATTCTAAGATCCTAACACAATTTCCTCAAACTAGAGGTACGACAAGTTTTAAACCTTAATACAGATATATCTAGTCTATTTAGATCGTCAAATTAGATTGACTTCTTCATAGTCAAATTCATTAAGGTTTGAAATGGCCAGAACCAATCAGAGGTGCATTTTATGGGTGAAATTGAAATTTTTTAGTAAAATTTTTGGCTCTATAATCATCGATCACATGTCTTTCGATAAATAAAAATTACGCAATTAAACTCAAAAATAAATAAATATATGCATGACAAGAAGTGTAAATTTTTCGCATAAGACTCAATTAAACTATTGTAAATATACGCTATATCACTAATCTACCAAACAAAACTTGGGCAACGAAGATACGTATTTTTTTATAGATAGATCATCCATACCCTACAAGGTTAGGGATTTGAGCAAATTAAAGGCGGAGCTAAGAGACGTAAGGAGGTTTATCTGAATCATCTTCGTCAAATATCATATATATACAAAGTCAAAATAAATAAATAGCAGATATATATTAATTTTCCTCAACTTTTTCATATGTTTACTTCTTTATATTTAATTTTTGTTTTAGTACAAATTAAGGTCTCGTTACACCAACGTAAACTAGTGAGTTTTTTTTTTGTTTTTTCACGTATTGGAGCCCGACTAAATTTGAGTTTGGTCTAGGAAGTTTTACATTTGAGGGGTAAACTATTCCTTAACAAATATGACTTTGTATCCAATATTATGACTCAAATTTGAAACTCTCGATTAAAAATATAGAAGTACTTACTACTCAATTACCGTCGTTGTTGGTAGGGTTGAAATGAACAAAAAAAAGTATAGAGGAGACATAAATAAGAGGCGTGCATGAATAATATTGAATCAAATGAGACAAATTTATTAGCTAGGGTTATGGTGATGGCTTCCCATATAGCTAACTCTTTTTTTTTTTTTTTGTGAGTGCGAAGTAATATAATTGAAGAAATTAAAGCTGAAAATGACCAGTGCTACAATCACAAGTCACCATCATAAAATGAGTTTATGTCTTTATGTGTTGATGGGACTATTCTTTCATTTCATTGTTTGCTAAACAAGGAAACTAACTATTTCTAAACTTTCATTTCTACTACTTTCTATGTTAGTATAAATGACTTCCCAAGGTTGGTCATCATATATTATACACACACAATGAAACAAAGATCAAGGATCTTTTTCTTTTTGGCATTTCATGCATGTAAAGGCATATTCAATGTCCTTATGTCATTGTGAGTTGTGATGGAATAGTTGAAATTCCTTCATCCTTAGTCTGAGGTCTCGTGTTTGAATTCTGAGTATAATTTATTTTTTATTAGAATCACCTTCCTAAAAAATAGGTCCATGCACGAAATTAAAATTAATCAAACTCCATTACGAATATATCGATCGGGCTTAAACAAAAAAGATGCTCCCATTTCTTCCTAAAACATTGCCAAATGCCAAGCCAATCAATACCTTAAGTACTTGTCTATGTTGTTATAAGTGTTAAAGAGTTGTTATACTCAATGCTTTCCAAAATGGTTGACACGTTGTTTCTTCAAAGTCGATTTAACTAATTACTATTGGAGACAAAATATTTTATAATTGGAATTTAGATATTTGAAATTTAAAAAATACTATAAGTTTCAATTTATAATCTTCATATCAATATGGTTAAAAAAAATCTTAAAATATTAGTTAAAGTTCATATAGTTTGATTCTAAAAAAAACAAAACACGATAAGTATTTTCAGACAAAGGAAGTACTATTAGATCACCCAAAAAGATACTTATTACAAGTAATTATTCATAAAAGGGTGGAACTATTTCGCGACTCAAGTTATAACATATTGTTTGTTTTGCGCTAACAGACCTCACAAAATTTGTTCTTTGAGCTATGATATAATCGAGTTCAAAACTGCCTACTATGTGAACTCGTGACATGCATGGTCTTATTTCAATGTGAGATTCGTCTAAGTTGTCATAATGTGCATTTGAATTTGCCAATCCAAAAGTCTTCTAGTTCGTTTTTAACTACAATCCTTCATGAGAGTCACAAATTAGTAACAATTCAATCTATCAAAAAGTTAAAACTTTTTTGGTTCTTCTCCATTTGTCCCTTTCGTAAATGTTTTACTTTTTTATTATACATGCATTTGTACCTAACCATTTGATCTAAGACCACCCTCTTTTCTTCCCATTTCAAGAAGTTTTGATTGGACACATTTCTTAACTTTAACTTTATCGATGTGTTTGATACGTAAATAAAAAATATTATCTCAAATAAAAATTTAAGTTGACGGAAAAATTTGGAACTTTTCTTTTCCGAATAATTTGAACATGTGAGTAAAGTCTCTTGTAAGTTTTTCTTTAAAAACTTTTTATTTGGTATTTGATATTTTTGATTAAATTTAAAGTCGTACACTACAGAAGCCATTTCTGAAAACGATAACTTTTTTCATTCTTGTGAACTCAAATCTGAACTCTCTAATTAAAAATGAGGGGTCATCGTCATCCTACCACAACTTATATTGCCTTGGTTCGTCTTAAGAATGGAAAAATAGGGTGTAATATCGAAACAAGGGTCAAGTTTAGGGACTAAACTATCACTTAAATACAAACAAAGGGACTGAAAGGTAAAATAACAAAAAAAAAAAAGGAAAATTAAATTTAGGAGGGAGAGAAGAAAATCGTGAATTCAATTCCCGCCATTTCAACTCTCCTCTTCCCTCTCGATTTTCTCTATCTAAAAAATTCTAGAGAGAGAAAGAAAGAGAGAGAATTTCAATGGCGAAATTCATCGACGAGCAATCGGACGGACTGGAAATATTATCAATCGGAAAACTTTACACTGGTTCATGGGATAAGAAGTACTGGAGCTCCTCTAGGGTAACAATTTCATTTCCGTTATTTCTGTAAAATGTTTTCGATCAATTGATGAACTGCTGAGTTTAGTCGTGTAGCTAATATATTAGTTTTTGGAGCTTTCGAAGCGTTATTAATTGTGGATATGAGTATTTTTCCTAATTTTTGTTCGATCAGAGTAGGTTGAATGGAAGTTATGGCTATGGATTAATTGATGAAGTACTGAGTTTAGTGATGTAGCTAATAATTAATATATTAGTTTTTGGAGCCTTCAAAGCGTTTTTGGTTGTGGATATGAATATTTTGCGCAATTTTGGTTCTACTATGTATCTGTATGATTGCATAAATTTTTAGGTTAGCGTAGTTTGAATGAAAGTTATCGTTATTGATCAACTGATGAACTACTGAGCTTAGTCATGTAGCTAATATAGTTTTTTGGAGCTTTCGAAGCGTTATTGGTTGTGGATATGAGTATTTTGCCCAATTTTTGTTCTACTATGTAGGTGTATGATTGCACAAATTTTTAGGTTAGCTTAGTTTGAATGGAAGTTATTGTTATAGATCAATTGATGAACTCTTTATCTGAGCAATGTAGCTTATGTATTTATTCAGATTTTTTGCCTAACTGAAAAATGATGAGCTAATATTTTGCGCTAATACCAATGTGAAACTAGATTTGTTTATTTTCTTCTGACAGTTATGTAAGAAGTCCTGTGTTTTGATCAATTATGGATGAGTAGCTGCAGCCAAATGTTCTTCGTGATCTTAAGTTTATCTTACCTGAATTGTGACGAATGTTGTACATTGACAAGATACTGAGTATTCTATACTAGCAAAATGTGATGGAGGATTTGCAGTGAATTCTAAATTTCTGGTAGTCGTCAGAACTAGTGTGAGGATTTACGCTTTCCAGTCATGTAATCCTGTGGAATCATTTTTGAAGAAAATCGTGGATCACTTATAGGCAAAAGGAAATCGAGATACATTGCGCTTGTTATTCAAGTCTCAGTATGGGCATCTCTAATGTTGATTTGGGTGCTGTTTGATGTGATGAAAAATGTTCCCTGAGAAAAACATATTACCTTCAAATTTCAAATATAATTGTTTAGTCATTTCTGATGTTTGATTGGGTGTAGCTACAGTTAGGGGAATGTAACAATGGTGGGGGAGTGATTTGTATTGGTATCACCGTGGAAATAATGTTTAAATGTTAGTAGGACCAAGTATAAAGTAGGAGTGGAATAGAAAATGACTTGCGTCCATAATAGATGTAAGATGACTACACTCATTTGGTGTACAGGTATACGTTTTCAATAGAATTTTTCTGACCATTCTGCAAACATGTTGGCCTATGTCGGTCCATTTCATTATATATATATATTACACCGCAGGAATATATCTTTGCTTAGGAGCTCAATGGTGGAGTTTGGTTGTCTTATTTTCTTTGAGTACAACGATTCTTGAAACTTCTGTTCTTAGTATCAGCAAAAAGCATGGCTGGCAGACTTACAATGTACTGTGTAAGAGATTCCTGTATCACTTAATTTGTCTTTTTGACTTGCAGGGAAAAGACCGCTATCCTTATCCTATTGGATACAATGCTCTAAGGACTCAAAATGGAGTCTCTTACAAAATGGAAATTCATGAAGGCCTCAATGGGCCATTATTTACGGTGTGTAGCAAAGATTATGCTGCTTTTTACAACATGTTAAATAGATTGTTACTGTATCTCTAGCTTTGGATTTATAATAAATTCCTGTCTCTGCCTCACAACAGATTAGTTCTACAGATGGGCAGTCATGTAGTGGGCAAACTCCAGATATTGCATGGGAGAGTTTCCAGAAAAAAGGATGTCAAATAAAATTGTTGCAGGGAAAGAGACACTCCAGTAAGATTGATGGTGTGGAGGTGTGTCTTGTGCCTATTTATGAGCTCAGCTAACATACTGCAATACTAAATGTTCTACCCTTTTGCCATTTGAATTGGTATTTCTGAGTGACATTGATACGTTTGAAAGTATTGGTACTGTTGTAACAAGAATTGGACTAGTCTGAGGTCAAAATGTGCATGCAGTTTTTGTTCTATTAAGGACTATATTGTTCGACCTGAGGGAATGACAGGGTTCATTTTGGACTGTAATTGAGCCTTATCCCAAAAGATGAGGTGCTCAAAAGATATCCATTTTCTATATTCGTTTTGGAATCTCAAATAAGAAATCCAATTGATACATATTCCGAGAAGTCTCAACTTTCCTTAGAAGAGAATAAAGACACTAATGGAGCAGGTCACATCAAGAAGTTTGTGTTTTGTAACTGATGGAATGGGTCAAATCAACCAATTATTTTTCTCAAAATCATCTTAAGATTGGTACGTCTAAGTTGGCAATTTCTTGTATTGGAAATTACACAGGAAGCCACATTTCAGAGCTAGAGCAGTAAAAGCAATTCTCTGATGAAGCCCCAATTCCCACATCATGTTATCATGTCATTTTGGAGGATGATTGTTAAGATAGTTTATTCACCTAAGCTAGTCAAAAGAATTTTCCAAGGCTTGTTGTGAGAAACTCAGGCATTGTGCTTAGGAACTATTTTCTATATAAGCAGAGATATTGTGGGAGAGTTACATTTGCTTATACAATTTATCATCTGTTTATGGACCTTATACTAGTGAAATTTCCTTTGGATCAATTTTTTGAATGCTAGCTTGCAGAGTGCATAAGTTGCTAAGTTTCTCTTAACTTTGAATGGGAATACTAAAAGGTTGAAGCTAAACTAAATGAGCCTAATGTTCTTATTTCTTTTCTCCTTACAGTTTTTCGGGTTCAAGAACACATTTGTTCAGAGGTTACTCAGGGAATTGGTGGCAAATACCAGTGGAACGCCAGAGCAGAATTTCTTGTCGTCTATCTCTCTTAGGAATGAGACATCTGAGGCAGTAAACCAAACTGAACTCACGGTATCAAAAACAGATCCTAATCTGCTAACACACACGGAAAAACCACAAAGCGCTGGGAAGAGAAATATGAAAGGTAGAACCAATAATATCAAGTCAGCAGCCAAAACAAGTCTCAAAAAACCTCGACGTCAGAACAAAAGCAGCGATATCAAAGCTTTGAATCCCGGCCAACAAGAATATGGTGAATATCCGCCTCCCTTCTCCTCAAGTAAAAGGTCTTGCAATAGTTCAGAAGCATTGCAAGAGTCAGAGACCTTGCAAACAATAAATGAGAGAGAAAAAGTTCTGGTTCCAGTTGTAGAATCTTTTGACCAAGATGATCATCTGAAAGTAGATAGTCTTAGTTCTCAAGGAAGGAGGAATCATTTGAATCCCAACATCGAAGTACCGGTAGAAGAATTGGTGGCAAATACCAGTGGAACGCCAGAGCAGAATTTCTTGTCATCTATCTCTCTTAGGAATGAGACATCTGAGGCAGTAAACCAAACTGAACACACGGTATCAGAAACAGATCCTAATCTGCTAACACACATGGAAAACCCACAAAGTGCTGGGAAGAGAAATAGGAAAGGTAGAGCCAATAATATCAAGTCAGCTGCCAATACCAGTCTCAAAAAACCTCGACGTCAGAATAAAAGCAGCGATGTCAAAGCTTTGAATCTTGGCCAACAAGAATATGGTGAACATCCGCCTCCCTTCTCCTCAAGTAAAAGGTCTTGCAATAGTTCAGAAGCATTGCAAGAGTCAGAGACCTTGCAAACAATAAATGAGAGAGAAAAAGTTCTGGTTCCAGTTGTAGAATCTTCTTATAAAAATGATCATCTGATAGTGGATAGTCTTAGTTCTCAAGGAGGGAGGAAGCATTTGAATCCCGAAACGGAAATACTATTAGAAGAATTGTTGGCAAATATCAGTGGAATGCCAGAGCAGAATCTCTTATCATCTAACTCTCTTGGAAAGGAGACATCTGAGGCAGTAAACCAAACTGAACACAGGGGATCAAAAACAGATCCTAATCTTCCAACACACATGGAAAAACCACCTAGAGCTGGGAAGAGAAATAGTAAAGGTAGAACCAATAATATCAAGTCAGCTGCCAATATCAGTCTCAAAAAACCTCGACGTCAGAATAAAAGTAGCAATATCAAAGCTTTGCATTCCGGTCAACAGGAATATGGCGAACATCTGCCTCCCTTTTCGTCAAGTAAAGGGTCTTGCAATAGTTCAGAAGCATTGCAAGAGTCAGAGAACTTGCAAACAATAATTGAGAGAGAAAAAGTTCTGATTCCAGTTGTAGAATCTTTTGACAAAGATGATCATCTGATAGTTGATAGTCTTAGTTCTCAAGGAGGGAGGAAGCATTTAAATCGTGAGACTGAAAAACCAGTAGAAGAATATACTGAATTACAAAAAGATGGAAAGCTGGTTAGTGTGTTTACTGCCTTTTCCCCTTTCAATCACATTAAATGCTCTGATACACTGTTCTCATTTATTTGCATAATCTTTTTCCTGTTTTTTTTTACTAGTCCCTTTGTACTACTTTACTTGCAAACAATAATTGAGAGAGAAAAAGTTCTGATTCCAGTTGTAGAATCTTTTGACAAAGATGATCATCTGATAGTTGATAGTCTTAGTTCTCAAGGAGGGAGGAAGCATTTAAATCGTGAGACTGAAAAACCAGTAGAAGAATATACTGAATTACAAAAAGATGGAAAGCTGGTTAGTGTGTTTACTGCCTTTTCCCCTTTCAATCACATTAAATGCTCTGATACACTGTTCTCATTTATTTGCATAATCTTTTTCCTGTTTTTTTTTACTAGTCCCTTTGTACTACTTTTTTTAAAATTATTTTACAAGATCCCACGTAAACAACAAAAACAAAGGGGATAGCAATCATATTATCAATTTCCTTTTTTTGTAAGTTGTTTGGTTACTGAAATTGCTAGCTAGGTACATTTTCTTAACTTCTTGCAGTTTGATAGGTCAAAAGTTTTGGATGAGCAGGTAATTGAGAACCAAATGACTGCAGAGAAGGATGGAGAATCACCGGTCGAGAATGGAACACAGAGAATTAATGATGCCAATCTTTGGGCACCTGATACTTTGGATCACCCACCAGGTACTATGAGCTATTACTTACCTGTGCCGTTCCTTAGTGCTGCATCTTGCAACACCTCTTACCTGACTTCCACTTCCCTGATTAATTCATTAAATGGTTGTCTTTTCACTTTTGTAGATGAATCTTTTAGTCTCACTGCAGAGATTGTGAAGGATGTTGTAGCTGCTGCTAGTACCATTGTTCCTGACTCTCTAATAATTGATTCACAGCCAGAAAGTGAAATGGGTACATCTAGTTTGGAAGTGAACTCACAGAAAAGTGAGTCAGATTCTGCTGGACATGAAATAGCCAACTCAATGATGACATTTCTGCTTCCTCGAGCACTTCCTCTGATTAGGACATACACTAGAAAGAAAAAGAATGATACAAAATCACCAGAAATATCCATCCACAATTCTCAGGACGAAAATAAGAAGATTGGCCTCTATCTTGACTCCACATCTGGTAAACTGTAACTTTCTAATTTCAGCTGATTATTGCTGCTCTCATTTAGTAATATTAGTTGCAATCTCAATCATTGATAAGACTATCATGAAGTCTTTTAATTAAAGCTTATTTCAGTTTCCTCTTTCTTTCAGTTGCAGTCAGTGAGCTTGACCAGAATTCACTGCACAGACAGAAGAAGGTTAATACCAGTTTTCCATTTCAAGGTTGTGTTCCAGCATCTACAGCTTGTTCCCTTGCAGAAGCTATTGTCCCTGATAGTTTTGATAATTCTGAAAGTGGATATACTCCAAGTCAGGGGTTAGCTCAGATTCTACAAGTAGCTGAAGTTGCTAAAGAAGATCAAATTGTTCAAGGCTTACATACCTGCAGACCTGAAATTGTGGGGCCATCAAAGAATGATAATTTAGAAGCAGCAGCTTGCAATGGTGAAACAGGTGACTTTATCTCCTTGTGATCTTTGGTTTCTTTAATTGAAGGGTCAGAGGATAATGTTCTCTTTCCGTGTGCTTTTTCTAGAACCATTTTTATTAACTAAAGGTGAATAGACTGATTGATATTGCTCTGTAATAGTTCATATTTCATCTTTTGTTGAAATTATTCTTTATGTAGCTAGTCTGAACTTCAAAATTTTCTATACAGTGATGAGATATGAGCCCTCAGTCTTTTAAGCTGAACTACAGTCTGTACACCAATTGATTGAAAGTAATAAATTGTTGAACAGGAACAGAAAGAGAAAATGACTTCTTACCAAGCACATATAAATTTGTTCAAGCATCAAGAAAGGAAGTTAGTGGAACCCAAAGCACTGGAGCAATTGTCAGTGGGAGCTTGACTAACATTCCACTTTCTGGTGAATCAATGGTGCAACATGTTTCCTTATCTGAAAGTATCATCTGCAGAGATTTCAGAGATGATTCTGTTCCAGAGTCAAATGCGGACATAAATGCAATGCACACTTCACATTTCTTACAAGGGAGCTCTTCTAAGCAGTGCCAAATTGAACAATCTATATCTACTGATGAACCCCATATTGAAGGACGGCCCCTTAACTTCAATACAAAAGAAAGATCCACTAGTACCAATGGTACACCTTTTAACTTGGCCTCCAGATCACAAGATGAAGAAATGGATCAGATGTTAGACCATATTCAAACTTCAAAGTTTCTTGATTCAACTGCAACTAATTCTGAAGGCAACTTGACTGAAATGTTGTCCAGAGACCAACAATGTGTCAGGTTTACTGGTCCTCTGTTAGATAAGCAAAAACAGAAGATAAATTTTTCTGCTGACACCACCGAGAAAAAGGAGAATGTAAACATGGAAGCCCAGAAAGATTTAAAGGCTGAGAGTGAAAGAAGTGGTGTTCTCAAGGTTATTGCAGGCTATGCCCATCCCATGCCAATTTCATCAGTGCTATTAAGTACACAAGAAAATGATCTTTATATTTGTGTTTTATGTGGTCAACCATTGCATGAGGATAGAACTATTTTCATGTACAAGGCCCCAATGGAAGGAGAAGAAAGGGGGTGCCCTTCTTTTATTGGTCAGGTTTCTATACGTTTCCAATTTTCAGATGGTGCCTTTCGTGGAGATGTGAGATGTTTTCTCTTCTTCAATGGCATTGCTGTGGGCCTATGGCTTGGTCTATATTATCTCATAATCTATATTTGTTTTATGCAGATTGAACTGGACAGTGCTGCTGTGCAGTTGACACCAATTGGGCAATCACTTGTGTTGTTCAACAGTGTAATAGCCCCAAGCTGCAGGTTGCATTTTCACTTGAGACAGAAGTGTTTTGTCTTTAGTTTGTTTTTTAGCTGTAGCATAGATGAATGCTGATGCACTGATCTTCCATGTTTGTTCTCAGGGAGGGTGATATGAAGTGCCGGTGCTCATTATGTGCTTTGAATATTTTCGAGGAAAATGCAGTAAAGATCGCGCAAATTAGAAATGGTTATCTCTCTCTCATTACTAAACTGAAAACGACATTAAGGGTCTGTTGTATATTGGTGTGTCCACCTGATCACCTTGTTGCTGTGGAAGAAAGTGGAAAGCTGTACGTATGGGTCATGAATTCAAAATGGAGGTGACTCTTCTTATGCATTGTGGTTTTCAAGTTTATTCATGTTTATCACAATATTGATCTTGCAGTGATAATAACTTTGAAATTGAGTTACTTCTTAATTTATCTTTCTTGTATTTGAATTAAATCCAATCCTTTTATTTGTTCATATGGCCAACATTTGCAATACTAGCCCACTTAATGGTAATTACGTGCTTTATCAGTCAATTATTGTACTCATCCATTTATATAAACATTTCATCACTCTAATGATCTGGTGTCCGACTTCAAATTTGTGATACTTCTTGATGTGATTTATGTTTTGTTTCTTTTGTTATGTAATTTGATTTGCCCCAAAATTCTGAATTTGCAGTGCGGAGACAGAAAAACGCTGTTTGCTGCCACCTGATTGCCCACCCTTTTCTACAATGAAATTGAAAAGAATACCAAATTCTGCTAGTTTGGTTCTTGGGTACAACAGTTTCGGGGAATTTAGCCTATGGTAATATATCCCTTGTAATCTTAAATGATGCTGTACTTGTAATGTGCACATTGTGTTTTACTGTTTATCAATTTCCTTATTTTGTTTCTCTTCATAGTTTACTTCTCTCTTCACCAAGTCATGCTCAATCTGTCAAAAAATAACAGATTAATGATTTTACCTCCAGCTTCTACTTAATTGTATGTGCAAATAGTTTCAAGAGTCTATAAATGATATGTATTTTAATGTATGAATGTCATATTGTTAGTCACTTTCATACACACCCAGAAAATCAAGTGCCCACACAGATGTGAATATATGTTGAAGACATCTATCATCATCCTTGGTGGGAGCTGAAAAAGAGAATCAATTAGAAGCAGTATGTCAGAAATCGGAGCTGGCTGCAGTGTTATTGTTTTAGTGAATATGCATACCACCACACATAATTTTGCTTCTTACAAGCACATTTTTTCATAGAAGCTAATTTACTGCAACTTTTACAATACCCTATTAGTTTGGATATATTAGGGTCTAAAAGTTTTCTTATGTTTGTTTTCATTATTTTTCTTTGTCACAAAGGATGAGATATCCATACGCCTTGATGCTTTTATTCCATTCTAGAAGATGAACAAATATTAAAAGCAAATGCTGAGAGATGAGAATAACTTCTGCTGAGCTTGGTGCATACGTTTGGTACTTAAGATTCCTAGAGTTTTTTGTTTACTGTCCCTTCTCACAGTATTTTGGTTATATTCAGGGATATAAAGAAGTGCATGCTTGTGTCAAAGTTTTCTGCTGCCAGTACTTCTGTTTTTCAATGTCTTCCGGTCAGTCTTTTTAGATGGCAAAGAAAGTTCACTGTTCCAGTGGTGGTCACTGAAGATATTATTAACGAAATAACAGATGTCACAAAGATGTCTTTCTTGGAAATAAGTGACAATCAACCCTTCTGCTCATTAGAGGATAAAGATGTGGCAATCTGGGTTCTTATTTCAGCTGCTCCCGATTCAAATTCGTCTGCTTATCAATCTAGTGAACAGCATTCTGATCCAGATCATTGGTGGAGGCTCGCTCTATTGGTTAATAACACAATGATCATGGGAAATTCTCTAGATCCAAGGTACTGCCAACATGCTGTACTATAAAATTCTGGAAAACATATCTGAGAATCTTAATTCATGTTTTTTATTTATTTTTGATTTTGTTGATTATCACAAAAGGGAGAAATGACCTTATAGTTCCAAGAGCCATTCCATATTTCATCCTACAGTTTAAAAGACTAAAGGAGAATCATGGTTGTTGAAGATTGGGTAAGGATACATGTCTGATATGAAGTTTTGGGGTTTGGCAAAGAGGCTTGTCCTCTCTTTAAGGTCAATTCCAAAATCATGTAGTTCTTTGTGTGATTCGTGCATCAAATGATAAATGATAGCAGGTTGACTGTCATTATAGACTGTATCTGTCTGCAAGGCTGCACCGTTGCGTTCATTATAGACTACTCTTTTGATCTAGATTCCTGAAATTTATGGTATTTACTGGTCTAATCTTTTCTAAAGATTGATAGCAGTTTGACTTCTCGCATCAAGTGGTAAAATGCTAAAAAGGAAATAAGTGCTGAAATGTTATTTTAATGTTCTTACGATAAATGATGACCATTCAGCCTATCTGCCTCTCAGGGCTACTGCGATTGGTTTTTCAGCTGGTCATGGGATTATTGGGAGAAGTGATGGACTGGTCTACATGTGGGAGCTAACTACAGGGAAAAGGCACCAAACTCTGCATCACTTCAAAGGTACTCTTTTTGTTGCAAGATTCATTGCTCAAATCTTAGTAGTTATTGTGTGATGTTTCGTTTATGGAAATCTCATCAGCTATTGGATGGTGTGTTGTTTAATCAGTTTAAAAACTTAAATATTTTAATTGTCCTTTGGCCGTAAGAGTGCAAAGTACATGATCTCTTCTTGAACACATTTCATCTTCAAAATGTTGATTTACTTCCTCTGGAATAGTGACATGGTGGTCGTCTTTTAAATAAGATGTTCGTGTTTTGTCAACCGTTCCCAAGATCTAGTCGTCTTTTATCCCTTCTCCTTACAGTTCAGTTTGGTTGTGTCAAAGCCATCATTAGCCCTGCTAGCACTGAGTCACATGTTCAGAATATGGACTAGATATTCCCTTTTCTATCAGTTTTCCTCCATCTCTCTAGGAAGCTATGGATTTACTGAGATTGCTCTTATTTCCTCAACACAAGTAATCTGTTTATCTTATGGCGAAGTTAGAATTTTACTAATATTCCTGTTTTCCTCTTTCAGATGCAGCTGTGTCATCCATTGTCTCTGATAATTCTAGTCATCGTGCAGTGGCCGTAGCCAGCGATGGAGGTCAGTTGCTGGTATATTTGCCATCTTGACTGGCTTTGTTTATATTGAATGAGTAACTTTTAGATGGATGCCAAAGAAATGCAGTTTTGGTAGGCCAAACCTCTTTGTAGATCTGTAAAGTAGTATATTTTTGTGATTTTTAATAGATCCAATCCAAGTACAATCATAGATTGTAAATAACAGATTAAATTTGGATTTTAAATAATGAAAATTCCATTATATTTCCCTTCAGTGTTATTCTTGAACTCCAATTCATTTTTGATCGGATGAATATTCTGTACTTAGTTATACTCAATTTAAGTTCCGGTACTATTTTTAATTTTAAAAATACTATTTGGTATTTTGCTATACGAAAATCTATAACCATATATACTCATATAATAGAGAATTATCACTTAGCTTTAATATTCAAAAAAAAGTACAAACAATTCCCTTTATTAATCTCAATTATGTAGAAAAAATCAATTAAGGTAGAGTAGTCAAAATTTCAATGTCTAAATAAATACCATACCAAATATCATAATATTTCTAATTTGAATACTTCTAGTGAGTTGCCTACTCATGATGCATAGTAGTAGAAGAAGTCCAATTAAGTTGGCATATACTAAAGTTGCGAAAGCAAAGAGCCACAATCAGCATGATAACACCAAAACATCAGCAGGCATCAAAATGTCAATGTTCAACTTACTTCAAACAAAACTAGACAAGAAAAAAATGGGAGATTTAAAAGCATAAAGCACTAAGCCATATTTTATTGATATTAGGAGATCTCAAAGTTTGGAACTAAGCCTTATATAAATAAAAATAAAATACTCCTATGATGTCTCAGAGAAGGCAATCAAAAGCTGCTCTACATAACAGCAGCAGCAGCAATATGAAACCTAAATCCTCAACCAAAATTAAAACAAGTAAACTGATAAACAAGTAAAATCCAGTTCTAGTTAACTCATAAGTCTCTTAGCCGTCGAAGAAAATGAGCAAAAGCTATCAATAGCATCTACTTTTTAGTCTTTGCTGGACCATCGGCGATAGACAGCTTAGCCAAGTTGTCCCCAGTAGGGTTGAGCTCATCCCAAGCTTCGATCCATGTGACCATGGCTTCTCCTAGCTTGGTGAAATAGGGATCGATACTGGAAAGTTTTTTCTTGACCTGCTTTGAGAGCTCGAGGTAGCATTGCTGGACGGTTGTGCACTCTTTAGGAAGAGTTGCAGCCTGGAAGAAGGGGATGATCTCCTCTTGCCAGAAGATACCGTTGTACTCCTTTTTGAGGTTAACGAATGGGTTGCTAGCTTTGCTGTGCCAAATGTAGGGCAGACCAGTCTTGATTCCTAGTCCCAAATGGTCACATATGACCTACAAATTTGATGATATTTCACGTCAGAATTCTCAATGCTTCATAAAACATCAAAATCTCGACTCAAGGAAATATAGGAAGTATGCATGCATACCTTGGTACACCAGCCGGCCCACATATCGTCGTAACGACCAATTGGCTGACCGTCACCCATGAGACCAAAGTACATTGCAGGTCCAATGAGATCACGGTCAAATGCCAAGTTCATTCCACACATGGGGAACAAAGTGCCTTTGGGAATCGTCATGACAGCATCAACGTATCTGGAACAAGATATTAATGGTAATTGGATAAGTATAGTTTCAAAGGTAATAGCAAACTAGATAAGCTCAATCCTACGAGTAATCAGATAAGATCTACAATTTGGCTCATGAAAAGCGTACATACCTAGTGTTCCTCTCATGAGGCTTAACAAGCTGTGTGGGAGCATCGTAGTCAGGGATGTTGAGCCACAGTCCATGAGAAACAGCTGTTGGAGCACCCTCACGCATGCTGAAAGGGTAGCCACGGACGAAATCTGCACCATCTCTGTATGGATCATACAGAGTGTTGAAGAAGTGCGGTGTGGATGGGCACAGGAGGTTCTTGATGTGCTGCTCAAGTGCATTGATATCCTTACCAGACGGGTCCTTGGCCACCTTCACATCAGCAGATAAAATTTCAGCTTGTGGGCAAGAATACCGAAACACTTCTTAAGCACTAGAGCTTTTGAGATCAAGGCATTGAAACAAAATACTCGAATAAAACATTCAAATACTGGCTCAACCAGTAGAGAACAAATATTACATTAATCTCAATCCTTATAACATTTAACTAAACAGAAATGCAGAAACAAAACAATGCCAAAGCATAAGCTTTTGTTACAAATCTGGCACCTCTTTTATGTATATAAACATATGACAAAGACTTGGTCTTTATGGTATAATAGAATAAGATCTGTCACCACACTTGATTTCACATAAAAACTATACAGATCTATCAAAATTCAAAACTTTCACACAGAGAATATGAATACACACAGAATACTTTAAGACCCCTCAAAATTCACCAAGATCCAATTTTTAACCTTCCCCACAACAAACTAAAACAAAATAAAGGCATAAACCAAACACAATTCAGCATAAGAGATCCATAACAATTACCAAATCACATTACTAAATTTCCCAAATTTGGTCATCATAAACCCTAGAAAAACCCCAAATCTAATACTTTAAAACCCCTCAAAATTCACCAAGATCCAATTTTTAACCTCCCCCCCACAAATCAAACTTATACAATCACAAAAAACATAACCATAAACTACAACCCCTCAAAATTCACCAAGATCCAATTTTTAACCTTCCAACACTTCAAAAACCCCTCAAAATTCACCAAGATCCAACATTTATCCACCCCCCCACAAATCAAACTTATACAATCACAAAAAACATAACCATAAACATAAATCAATGCAAAAAAAACAATCTTTAAGAAAAAAAAGAAGAAATACTCACAAAGCAATCATCATCAATGGTGTAGATATACTTCTTCTTAGACACCATATATCCAAAACACCTACAAGCAGAATCCTTAAAAGAGATACAAGAAGCTTTAGGACCCAAAATCCTGTTAATGTCATTTCGATTATAAAGCTCATAATCAAATCCTTCAGGGACCTTAATGATCTTTGAAGGATCACCATCTTGAACAATAATCAGATGGTATGGCTGAAAAAAGGGTCTCCACATCTCCAAAAAATCAAGATTTCTTATTGTGGGAATCACAATATCAAGCTCATCTTTCAACAGGGGTGTTGCTGCTGCCATAGCTAATTTCTCTATGAATTTTGTAGATTTTGATTTTTTTGAGTAAAGAGAAGTGAAGGGTTGTATCCTATTTATACTACTTACTATAGAAGAAGAAAGAGTTGTTTTTTCCTTCTTTTTTTTTGAAGTTATTTGTGTTGACTAAAATATTACTTGAATCCCACTTGGTATGTACATGTATGTGTTTCAAAACATGGAAAGGTAGTATTAAAATGCATTAAATGTTTTTTATGTTATTTTTTTACGGTATTTAGTATTCGTATTGAAGTTTGACTATTCAAATTCGAGAACTTTTATTAAAAAAAAGAGCAATCTTATCACCGTACCACGTCCATTAATGGTAAAGGTATGCATTAAATGCTTTTTTTTTTTCATCTATCGTTCAATATCTGTATTGGAGTTTGACCGCTTGAATGTGAGACATTTGGTTAAAAATGGAATAGTCTCATTCAGTATACCAAGTCTGTTATGGTAAATGCATTAAATGTTAATCTTTAATTAATCTATATAAAGACAAATTTTGTTAGTAACTTAGTATTAGTTATTAGAAAAATAATAAATAAATTTGGTGAGAATAAATTCTATTGACTTTTGATTCATGCTTTCAGATTAGGTCTGCTGCATCTTTCCTTTTCTTTTCTTTTTTCGCGATACTTATTTTAAAATTTAATTAATATATGTAATTAAATTCTGTTTTTGGAAGTAAGACGCTATTTGTCAAAATTTAACTTTATTTTTAAATTTTAATACTATATTTTAAATTAAGAATAGCAAGTTACTTGCTATCTGTTTATGGTAATATGCATTAAATGAATCCTATGAATCTAAATAAAGACAGAATTTGTTAGTATTAGTTAAAAAAAACAATTTACAATTAAGGATTTACGAAGTGAATCCTATTGACTCCTCTGATTCATGCTTTCAAATAATAATCATTTTGAGGTTTAATTATTTAAATTTGTGTTACTAATTTCATTCATGAAGATAAAGTGTTCTTTGTCAAAAGTGACTTTATTCATACCTCAAATCTGAAATTTCTCATTGAGGATAATAATTTACTTACCATCTCGCCATAATTGGGAAAATCAAGATATTCTAGAATTATAATCTTGAAACGGTCTATTTGTACTAATCTTTAATGTATTACAAAATTGTTAATGTACGTAAAGTAATAAGTTGCAGTAGTTAATTAGGATTAAATGTAACTTTATTGCTTTTAAATAAAGACATAATTAAATATTGTTTGAACATGCTTTACACAAACTTTCACATGTAATTGTATATACATAAAATCACATGAGAAGTATTGATATGGGATTAGGTAGTAAAACTAAAATCACATGATATGAAATTCTTCAAACAAAAAATAATCAGTCAAAATTCACGAGAAATTATCTAATATAATTGAAGTTAAGGGATTCTGCATAAAGCGAAAGTTTTTTTTAACAGAAATATAAGATAAAACTATGTATAATAAATTTTTATAGTCTAATCCTTCAGTACATAACGGAAGCTTAGTGCATCGAACTGTCATGTTTATAATAGATATATTATTTAGTTGGAGGTTTCTAGTGAAATTAGAAACTTAATTATATGTTTATACAAGTGTAGGATTTTTAGATCCGCTAGTTTTAAGAGAACTCTAATTTACCTATTAAATTGTATTTAAATGAAATACATATTAAATTATAGATCTAAACCAACTAGATTGGGATTTAGTTTTGATTGATTGAAATCAATTTCTCATATATTAATTTGAACTACAAAAAGAAAAATAGGAGGAAAAATACATATACATAATGTTGATTTTACAAGCAAGCAATTGTATATAATAATAATAATAATAATAATAATAATTCTATTTTTTTTCTTCATGTATTTGAAATCAAACTGTTCAGTTTCCACCTACTTTAGAAAGTGAAAATTAAAGGTTTGGCATATCTAAATGTCTTTGTTAGGCAAGCATGTATCTATTTAAGTATTTATTTTCCCACTAATTTGTTTGATTTTTTTAATTAATATTTTCTGAAAATTGGTATTTTTTTATACTTAAAATTTAAATATTTTTATCCTTAGTAAAAAAATTATAATTCCATAAATATTATAATATATTTAAGATCAAAAGTTTTATACGTCTTCATTTTTTATTATATTTTGTGTTGAGTCATGTTCTTTACCAAATAAATTAAAACGAATAAAGTATATAAGTCAAGTCAAGAATAAAGAAAAGAAAGATATATATACATATATAACGATTTATATTTATATATTATTCATTGTATTCTCTCCTATGCGGAGTTAGCTAATTTTTTTATGGTCCAAACAAGTGAAATTTCTTTTGATAATAGGTGACGGTGATCTTCAAATCAGTTCGTATTTGATAATATATTGAAGTATTCCAATCCTAGAATAGCTTAATTATTATTTTTTTGGCAGTAATCACAGTACTGCTAATAAACACTAGAAATGACTTTTAAGTAAATAAGAAAATTTCAACCCTATAAAATATAATGAATAGCTTAATTTAATTAGCAATAGTACTGTCATGCATTTCTTAAGCAGTAACTAATTAATTAGACAGCTAATAAACACTAAAAATGAATTTTTATATAAGAAAAATGATTTAATAATACGTGTTGCCTAACTATACAATGAAAATCATGTTGAAAGCGTTATCTCTAGAAATAAGCATTAAAATATATAAATTTAAATCTAATCGGATTCCAATACAAATACAATATACCAATTAAAAAACAAACAAAAAAATGAGATAAGATATTCCACAGTTTATTCTAAAATTGTAGTCCCATAATTTATGCTGGAGACATAATTCAGACATTACTATAAAATAATAATAATAGTGGTCGTGATAAATGATAATCAAACTTCCACTTGCCTATCAATTTTTTTTTGAATCCGTCTCATAATAATTTTAAATAAACTATAACGTAAAATTATGTTTCCTTTTCATCACTCTCCGTGTCTCAATTTATATAATACAATTTTTATTTAATCAATCTAAAAAATAATAATATATTTTTGTATTTAACAAATATATAATGATACTATCAATATTTTATCAAAATTAAAAAAATATCCTAAACATTTATTATAATTATTTATATATATATATATTTTATTTTTTTTATATATTTTTTTTATATTCAGTCAAACTATATCTCGTAAGTTATTACGAAGTGAAGTGTATGAGAGGTGGGGCTTCATATTTATGGACATTGACAATTCAAAAATAACGTGGCTTGACAGCAAATGGCCACTTAGAAAACAACACATTATTTTTACCTAAACTTACTATAAAGTATTATTTAATTAATAAATTCACATGTTGACTGTTTCACATCTAATTATTTGCACGTCTTCTACACTTCTTTTAACATGTCTTCACATGTTCATGAAGTGTTTTTGCATGAAAACTTTTTGAAAAAGAATAAATAATAAAAATTAGGGAAAGCCAAAAAAGGAGGAAAAAGAAAAAGAAAAAGAAAAAGGCAAATAAAAATAAGAAACGTACGTTATAAAAAGAAAGATTTTTGTTCATGAATTGCTAAGTATGCACGATAAAAATGATTGATTCTTTATTTGTATTGAGAAATCTGTTAAATAAATAAATAAAACACGTTTGTTGGAAACATAATAGTAATAAAATATGATTTGAAAACCCTCTTAACCTTTGTTAAAAAAATTGTTTTGAGATTTATAGGAAATCGATAAATTTTAAATCATATATTCGTCTCTAGGTACAAGTGAATCTTATAGTCCATCATAAAATGGTGTAAGCTTCTTTGAAGTTCAAATAATGAAAATAGAACTCTAAAAAACTTTTTTTATTATTTGAAACTCTAACTAAATTTTATATATTTTTTTTAGGTGTATTAGCCAAAATTCTTGTTCAAAATTTGTTTTCTCATTAAAGGGCTAAATTTTAAATAGTTTTGAAACACTTACTAAAATGTATGGACTTTCACATTGGGCCAAAGAAGAAATGGACTGTACCTAGCATTGATCCATTAATATGAGGGATCAAAGTGTTTGGCTTTTAACATATGGTCAAATTTATTTTTATTAAGATTTAGATGTTTGAATCATTGTGATGATTAATAGTTGTGATAGATGATAACTAATGACAATGTTGAATAATAACAATAGTAACAATATATAGTAATGATTAATTGCGGTGATTGTCTATATTGATCGATTGTTGTTGTTAATGCTGGTTGATAACATGATTGTAAATGATAGCTAGTGATGATGACGACTGATTATAGTGATAGACAACAACGACAATTATGGTTGAGACTAGAGGATGATGGTGGTTTATAATGGCGGCAACGATAACCCTAATAGTTGATAATGATAGGTGTTGACTTAATAATAAATAAATGGTATTGGTGAAATGTCATCTTTTTAGATTTTTCAAAGGTATTTTTCACATGCTTATTATAATTTAGCCGACTGAATCATACACTATAGTTGAGTTGATGTATGTTAGCTGGTAGCCTGGGAGGGTTGTTATCTAGTTATTGAATTAACAATTTGGATAGAATCTAGAACTTATTAAATAACGGGTTATTAGTTTAGAAATGTATTGCTTAATTTTTATATATAATAAATAGATAACATGTTTTGCTCATATTTCCCTCACTATAATGGTGGTTTCAACTTTATATCAGATAAAATTGATTAACCAACAATGACTGTTAAATCAAACTAAATCAATCAATATCTTATTAATTCAATAACGATGTAGCATATATAAAAATCGATAAGCCAAACTAGGATTCCGTTAGTTTCACCCCATCCGAACCGACCCAAAGGTAAGGATTTAGTTAGTTCAACCCGACCCGACCCGAAAGTAACCCACGAAAGTAAGGATTTGATTAGGGTTTTTAACTCTCCTATTCAAACTTGAAGATAATTGGCTCCTTGCACAGATTTTTGAGAGAAATTTTGCAAGTAAAAATGCCAACTTTAACGAAGTT